GTATAATGGTAGGGGAATCACTGAATGAATATAATATACAAGTTTCACATTTTGAATGAAATAACTAAAATAAATAAACTTTTTCATGATATTCTAATTTTATGACCAGCAGCTGTATAGTGGTTGATAATAGCCCTGTGAGCAAATCTTAGTGAAGCTCATAAAAAGTTCATAGAGTTTAAATTCTTAAGAGAGAATAGTTATAGTTCCTATTTTTTTTGTTTTTTGCTTTTTTTTTTCGCGCGAGTTTCTTTCCGCAGCTGGTTGATTTAGCCTCGGTTTTTGGGGTAATTACATCGCGCAGGGAGGCATCGGCGTGCCTTGAATATTTGGGGAGGAAGCCTGCGGTCTTTGTTCGTTCATTTGATCGGTTGGGTTCCTTTGTTGGGACAAAAAGCATGGGAGCGCAAACCTCCAAAGCCGCTGGAAAAGAGGAAGCTGCGGTGGAAAAGCCAGCAGAAGGTGCGGCTGTTGGGTCCAAGACGAACGGACAGGAGAATGGCCATGCCAAGACCAACGAGATGCCTCTCCAGCTGCAGAGGACGCCAACAAGGCTGATGTGCAGGCCAATGGAAGCACTCCCACCGAGGAGGCGCCCAAAGGCGAGGGTGRGAAAGTAGACGGCGCAGAAGCCAGCGGAGAGAAGGAGCCGTCCATCATGAATGGAGAAACTTCTGCCAAGGCTAACGAAGACGCCCCATCCACCAGTGAGGAGGGCAAGCAGAAGAAGAAGCGCTTTTCTTTCAAGAAGCCCTCTTTCAAGCTCAGCGGCTTCTCCTTTAGACCAAGAAGGAGTCAGAGGAGGCGGCAGAGGAAGGAGCAGCCGAAGGAGAGAAGCCTGCCTCAGAGGCTACAGAGGAGGACAAACCAGCTGAGGGCAGCGGCGAGGAAGCCAAGGAGACTGCAGCTGAGGAGCCAAAGGCCGAAGAAGTGAAGGTGGAGGGAGAGGCTGAAGGAGAAGAAAAAGCAGCTAAAACTTCACCGACCGATCCAGAGACGGCAGCCAGTCCTGAGGCCGTCGCCGCCGAGTAATCCTGCTGAACGAGACACCGAAGTGAAGGAGAAGATGTAGCCTGTCTGAACGAATGCGAGGACATGTCTAAAACCAGGGATTGTTTTTCTTTTCATTTTTTTAATTTTTTGGTTAATTTCCTTTTTGTTGTTGTATGTTTACTACTTTGCATCCATCTCATCCATAATGACTGCTATGTCCCAGGCATGATGGACAGGACAGTAAACGGTGTGCTGCTTCCTCACTGCTAAACGGTGCTTGCATTTGTAACACGGGTGAGTGTGAAAGTGCAAATGGGAGTGGGGGAGGGGTGGGTATTTTTGTGCGTGTGTGTTTTAAACATGATACCATGACACATTACTGAAATTTTACCATATATTTAATCAAAAAGTATTTGGTGCTGGGCAATTGGATGTAGCAGCTAAAGCTGTGCCTGCAAGATCCGACACATTGTGATATTTAAAAGGGAAGTCCTTCTCCGAGTCTTAAATGTTGTCATTTTGCAGTGCACAGTTGTTTACAACTCTTTTAAGATCCTGTGAACACAAAACCATTCCTGAAATAGATTTAGTTAACTGTTTAAAAAAGGGAAAACAACAAAAAACCCAATAGGTGCTCATCACTTTCCATTAGACTCCACCGTTTCATCATTCTGTAGTAATGCACGTTGTATAACCTTTGATATTACTGGTTTTATGGCTGAGATGTACCTAATGACTGAAGTTTTAAACTGATTACCCATTGTAAATGAGTTTTTTTTTCACCATTTGTAAGACTAAATAAAAGTGGGAGATGTTTTAAGCAGAAAAAAAGAGAAAATAGTTAAGAAGTTAAAGTTAATAATATTTTACCCAGAAAAAGACCTCTGGTTAGCTAGCTCATTTAAACTGTCTAAAGTTTTTTGACCCCAGTAGGAACAAGGAGTTATTTCAGCGTTTGTTTATGTTCATCCTGGAAGTAGGACTTCTTCTTCTGTGGTTTTTTTTTAATGGTAAGTTTACAACTCTGTGTATGTCAGCACTTCTATTCTCATTTAAAGCCGGGTGCATGCAAACGCTCGTCATGGTCAGATTAATTAATCTTGTGTCCATTTAATTAAATGATTCAGATTATTTAACGCGGATATATTTTAATCTGATCAAAGACTTTTGCACATGTAAATATAACTAATGATTAAGGTTTCAGTCTGCCTCTCATTAACCTGGCAGTCAGGGAGTGACAGACACAGGTGCATGGTTACCATGGATATAATCACGAAGAAGCAGCTTTCTTTTTTCTTGTGATCTTAGCTCTCTTTCCACGTTTTATACAGTTCATAGAATAAAGTGTATGCATTTGTTTTCTTAAGCTAAATTAATGAAGTTTTGCTGTAATTTGAAGCAGTAGCTGCACTGACACAGTCCAGTTTTCTTTGAAAAATGTTTCTATACTAACAAGAACATGTTTCAAGTTTTATTTAGGAGAGATTTTCAGCTTGCTTTTCTTTATGTGTCAAACCTCTTATTTTTAAAGTAAAAAAACAACGCTAATCTGCTAAAATGTACTAATTTGACAACTTTAGGACTCTGACATGTTGCAATAATATTAGCTCCTTGTCAAGTGGTGGTCGTTACTGTCCCTGTATAATGAGCCTTTTGTGTAACATGCATGTGTGTGAAGAAAAGTTGTGTACCCAGTTTCCAAATCCATACTGCTCGATAGCATCGAGCAGCGACTGCTCTTCCCTGCTGCTCCATCCTCCCTCCGCCTCGGGACCCCAGAGCGAGAACAGCCCGCCGTCGACCTGCTGGTAGCCGTGCCATCTCCGGTGGTTGCCAATCTCCGCCCCCGCCGAGAAGCACTCCGGGCACAGCTCGATATCGGGGCAGTCGGTGCAGCGCAGCCGCAGGTTCGTAACATCCGCGAGACAGTTAACGCAGTACTTCTTCCCCAGGTCGGCCATCTTGCCTGGCGGCTCCTTGCTTCTTGTTGTAGCAGGCGGAGCTGCGCGCATGCGCACCTCCGGCCCAGATGCTTCTGGCGACACGCCCACCGACCTTATTAATATTCAGGAGCGGGTGCTAGGGAGCCTGTGATTGGCTGATGAAGCCGTGTTTCCAGGACAACAGAAACTAAACGAACAGTCTTCATTGACCTACTGCACGAGCCCTTTAGCTACAGACAAGTTGAATAATTCTTTAATGAATTACAATCATAGGTTTTTTTTATTAATAAAATGAATAGTGAGTTAGAGCTCAACGAAAAGAAGACAATGGCTCTCATTAATGATCATGGAAATGAAGAAGATGACTCAGCTGGACCAGCAAGTGAAGGAGAAATCTCTGCCAGTAAAATAGTCACAGAAGACCTCTTTGTTGAAGAAGCAGCCACCTGCGAGCCAGAGGAGAGCACTGCTCTCAGAAACATCACCKCCAATAAAGAGCTGAAGATCAACAACAAACAACTGCTGTCAAGTGACCTGAATCTTGTTTTTAAAGCTGACAGCAATGACGGAGCGTGGAGCTCAAACGCAGAGAGCAGCAGTCCGGCACACACAGAAGATGAGTTCATGCACAAAAAGAGGAGCCAGGCCAGCCGGCTGAACAGACGGCTGCAGGTGAAGCTGACAGRCTACTTCCAGAGGAGACCCGCCTCTGACGGCCTGCTGGACGGGGAGAGGCCTGAGCAGCAGCAGGAGTATGAGAAGCACCTGCACCTCCTGACGGAGCTGAAGCTGCAGCTCCGAGCCGCCTCAGCCTCGGCCCAGCWGCAGGCCGAGGAGCTGAGGCTGCAGGAACTGAAGAAACTGGATGAGGTTGGTTTCTGCTCAAGATCTCTGGCCTTCACAGTAACCCACTGTGTTTGAAGAGAAGTTTTTATYAAAGCTCATAATTACAGCTGCATAAGCAGACACGATGACATCATTGTCATGCCTCTTATATTTTCAGTAATCGTAGATGTCCAGGGTTATGAGCCACAAACCTAAAGAAAAAAATAATTTTATTAATCTAGCTTTATCGTTATTCATGTAAAAATCACGAGACTCCAAAATATTCAAACATCACATCTTCTCACAGTAAAGGTGTAAGTTTAATTTGCCAGAGAAGCAAATAGAATTGACATTAGATATGATACGGTTTTCTTATTCAAATACACTTAATTGAAAATAATGACATTTAAAAGCGTTTGTGCAGTATACAGGAAACTAGTTGCATCAAACAAAATCTGTATGAATAACGTGCAGAAACCAGAGCTGTAAATAAAGATGAAAACAACATCCTATTCAAATGTCTAATATCAAATATCCAAAAATTATGCCAAAATATATATTTTTWGTGTGTGTGGGGCTGCCATAAATTCTAGAGCCAAAGACTGGCCTGAAAGCCCATCCCTTCAGATTATCTCATTCTTAATTTCATTTGTTGGACTTTGTACTTTAATTTATGATTGTTGCTGTCAGTATTGCGTAAAGTATCACAGAGTGATACTTGAGTAAAAGTACAAAGTATCTTACCAAAAAAATACTTTGGTAAAAGTTAAAGTCTCCTTTAGGAAAATTACTTGAGTAAAAGTCTTAAAGTATCTGATACGTATTAAAACTCAAAGTATTGATTTGAAATGAGCAGTTAGATTTTCTGTAATGATATTTATTAGGAGAAGAACAAAAAACTGCAGAAATGACTGTTGTATTAAAATAAGTAATTTATGTTAAATTTAGGATGCACTAGTCCAGCTGTTTTAGTGCCCAAACCTTTTCACCAAAATGAAAATCTCTCTGAGGGCTGTGGTCAAATGCAATAATATAATTCATGAAATACAAATACTTCTTAAGTACAGTCCTTTTATTTTAATGATTATGTCCTGCTGGAGTGTGACATGATGTGTTTGTGTACAAAATAATACAGTATCAGAATTTTATGTATTTATACTTCTCATTCAACCACAGTTAAATTCACTCTATCTAGGAGGCACAATTTATATAGATAGTATTTATTT